TATTTATTTATTTTGGTCTTTTTGAGACAGGGTCTCCCTGTAGCCCCAGCTGACCTGGAACTCACTATGTAGACCAGGCTGGCCTTGAACTCACAGAGATCTGCCTGCCTCTGCCTCCCGAGTGCTGGGACTACAGGCATGCACCACCACACCTGGCTTATTTTTTTTTTCTTCTTCTTTTAAAAAGCTATGTTTTGCTGGGCGTGGTGGCACACGCCTGTAATCCCAGCACTGGGGGACACAGAGGCAAGTGGATCTCTGTGAGTTCAAGGCCAGCCTGGTCTACGTCTACATAGTGAGTTCCAGGACAGCTGGGGCTACTGGGAGACCCTGTCTCAAAAAGACAAAAAAAAAAAAAAAAAAAAAAAAAAAAGAAGAAGAAGAAAAAAAGCAGGGCGTGGTGGAGGCAGGTGGATCTCTGTAAGGCCAGACTGGTTTACATAATGAGATGAGTTTCAGGTCAATCAAGGCTAAATGACAATCAGTTCTAAAAAAAAAAAAAAAAAAAAAAAAAAAAAAAGTTAGCTTCTACTGTCCTGACCTACAAATGGGTAGTCAAGTCTAGCCTAGATATAACTAGAACCCAAAGAACTGGATAGGGGCTTACATAGTGTGTAGGTTCAAACTGCCCACTTGTGGCTGACCCCATGCCTCTGTCTCTAGAAATGAGAAGCATGTTGACATTTCTACCACCTCTTGCTTCTACCACAAAATGGTCTTGAAGCTGCTACCAACCTTGAGCATGGAGTGATACATCTCATGGTGGACCAGATAAAGAAACACATTCCATAATAGACACAAGGCATAGATAAGTCTCAAACACAGACATCACAGAAGTCCTTGAGGTCCACTAAGGGCCATTAATTTTCAATACTGGGTCTGCATGTGCTCAGATAACAAGTGGGAGATTATTTTAAGCCAGTTTAAGGCTAGAAATTGACAGTCTGCTCAGAGAAGGCAGCAGTTGCCTGTCTTTCATCCTGCACTGAGGAAATCCTATACCCAGCACAGATTATGTCTAGTGATATGGAGAATAGTCTTTCTCAAAATCAAAATGATCAGGAAGCAAGAAACTGAGAAATCTGGGAACCCAGCCAGCTCAGCCTGTGTCTGGCAAAGACATAGCCTACAGAAGACATGGCCTCAAACTAGTAGAGAGATGGTTGACTTCATTCAGGTCTCCTGGCCTCATTGACTTTTCAGAATAAAATACACTACCTCAGGCAGGCTGAGTAGCTTATGCCTGAAATTCCAGCACTTGGGAGGTAGGATAGGCAGGAGAAGCACTGCAGGGCTCTGTAGAGAGAGCCTGTCAGAATCCATGCACATGTGCACATGTATCTGAGGCCCTAGGGTCAATCCCTAGAATAAAAATACACTACCTCTATCAGAAACTAGGAGCTGGTGGGGTTTTTTTTGTTTTTTGTTTTGTTTTTTGGTCTTTTTGAAACAGGGTTTCCCTGTAGCCCCAGCTAGCCTGGAGCTCACTATGTAGGCCAGGCTGGCCTTGAACTCACAGAGATCCACCTGCCTCTGCCTCCCAAGTGCTGAGACTACAGGCGTGTGCTACCACACCGGCTTGGAACTGTTTTTAAGATGTATTTATTTTTTGGTCCTTTGAGACAGGGTCTCCCTGTAGCCCCAGCTGGCCTAGAACTAAGTAGACCAGGCTGACCTTGAACTCACAGAGATCTGTCTGCCTCTGCCTCCTGAGTGCTGGGATTAAAGACATGCACCATCATGCCTGGTTAAGAGCCTCAAGTGTTCTTAACCACTGAGTCATCTCTCCAACACCAGAAACCAGGAATTCTTTTTATTCTTTATTATAGTTTCTAGATGCCCCCATTTCACAAATTCATTTATTTTTTTAATTTTTTTATTTATTATTTTTATTTTTTTATGTGTATACGTGTATTGCCTGCATGCAGGTAAATGCACCCATGTTGTGCAATGCCTGCGGAGGTCAGAAGAGGCTGTTGGATCCCCTGGAACTAGAGTTATGGCCAGTTGTTAGCTGCCTTGTGGATGCTGGGATTCGAACCTGAGACGTCTGTGAGAACAGTCAGTGTTCTTAACCCCTGAGTCATCTCTCCTGCCCCACAAATTCATTTATTAATAGGCATCTGTTGACTTTTTTTTTTTGTGGTCTTTTTGAGACAGGGTCTCCCTGTAGCCCTAGCTGGCCTGGATTTGCTAT